GGGTGTGATATGTGTGTGTGTGGTGTCTTCATGGTGCCCAGGCTGAACTCGTGGAACTACAACTTTATGGGTAAGACATAGGGGGAACTGCTGCTTTCTCTTTCCCCATTCTTACTATCGTAGTTTTTCCTCTACTTCTTTCCTCATCCTTACTATCGTCATTTTTTCCTCTACTTCTATTGTATGTTTGTCACACTGTTGTGAACTGCTATTTCCGCTGATTCCCTGTAAGGACTTCTCTGTTGACATCCACCCCTTGACGCTCATATGACCTTATGCAGTTGTGAGTGCCGTAAAACCTTACTAAAACTTAGGAAAAACTAAACCTGTACTAAAACGATGTGTCTGTCTGTGTGTCCCTCCTGCAGGCGTGCGGCACGACCCCACCATGAAGTACGAGCTCCAGCTGTCCAACCCCAAGGAGTTCTACCACGAGGTGCACCGGCCCTCCCACTTCCTCTTCTTCTCGCAGATGGAGGAACACGAGCAGGCAGGGGCGGACAGGGAAGATCTCTACGCCTGAGGGGGGAGGGGAGGGCAGGGAAAGAGAGGAGGAAATTGATTGAGAGATGGAGTCGGGGAACAGACATGGGAGAACAAAGAGAGAGTGAGGGGTGAGGAGAATGGAGGTGCGTGAGAAAACTGGGGGGAGGGCGGAGAGTGAGAAGGACTGACCTTACGTCGAGGGGAAGGGTGGTCAAGAGAAAGAGGTGGGGGGGGGGAGAACTTGTTTATATCCAATTGTGCGTTTTGTCAGAGCAAATGGCGAGACACGTGAAAGAATGGGATTTATTTCTGTACAATTGTCCGATTTTGGCCTTTTTTAACATTGTTTTTCACTCATGTGTATATACCCATAGGGAGTTGTGTTGTAGGCTACGTTCTCTGACTGTTTCTGTGTGTCTATTGGGGGTTGGTGGACTGGTCGTCTGCTGTTTGTTGATCTAGGAGTGTCACAGGATGGAGGGTTTGTTGATTTATCACAGGATGAAGGGAAGGGTCTGGGCAACACTGTTCTTTCTATGGTGTTTAGGGTGTTGGGCGGCTGTCCTATGTGCAGACAGAGGTTGTTTTAGCGTTCAGAGAGGAGGTTATGTCATGTACTGTACGGCAGGCAACTTCTTGTGGCCAGGCAACTTCTTGTGGCCGTCTGGGTCCTCCTTTTGTTGGGGGG